AATACCAGAGGCAATGTCAAAGTGAGAATTAGGTTTACACAAGGTCAGAACTCAGGGAAGGCATCCCAGAGCCAGGGATCTGTGCTTTGCCCCATGTTCAGCTCTGGGCCCCCCACTACAAGAAAGACATTGAGGTGCTGGAGTGGGGGCAGAGAAGGGCAACGTAGCTGGTGCAGGGCCTGGAGCACAAGTGTGATGGGGAATGGCTGAGGGACCTTGGGGGGTTCAGTCTGGAGAAGTCTCAGGGGGGGACCTTATCGCTCCCTACAACTGCCTGTTCCCAAGGAACAAGGGATGGGACAAGAGGAAACGGCCTCAAGCTGCACCAGGGGAGGTTTAGATGGAGAAGAGGAACAATTCCTTCCCCAAACGGTGCTCGGGCATTGGAACAGGCTGCCCAAGGCAGTGCTGGAGTCACTGTCCCTGGAAGCGTTCACAAACCACGCAGAAGAGGCCCCCAATGACATGGGTTAGTGGTGGCCCTGGCAGTCCCAGGGGAACAGTTAGACTTAGAGGTCTTTTCCAACCCAGTTAATTCTGTGACTGTATGGTTGGAAGCAGCCACAGCTCCTGCAACCTGGGGAGCAGAGCACTATGCTGCCAGCACCATCCCTGACACAGTTTGAGCCCTCACCCCGCCGGCAAGCCCCCACATGCCTGCTTCGAGTGCCAGCTGTGGGCAGCAAGTCGTGACAGGCCTCGAAGGGAAGCGACATCCCCGATTATCCCTTCGCAACCCGCCCGAAGCTCCCGGGTAAGCCGGAGCCCAGCGGCGCGGCGGAGTCAGCCTCCTCCGGCGGCCGCCAGAGGGCGCCGCAGTGCCCCGCAGCCGCGCAACCTGCGCGTCCCCGCCGCGGCCGCGGCTCTGCCCCGCGCACGGCGCAGCAAGCGGCGGAGGCACCTCGGAACAGCGATTCTCAAGCCCACACAAACCGGGCTGTGCCCCGCTGTGGGGGCCGCGGCGCAGTCCCAGCTCGCTCTTTGCAGCCTGCTGAAACCGTGACTTTGGTTTCTGTCGTTCAGTTGAACCGTATTCATGCTCTTAAAGCACAACAGCTGCATTTTGACATGAAGGCAGGGGTGGGTTTAGGGTGAGCAGAGTGGAAAATGCGCTTCAGGATGTTCAGATGAACTTGAGTGTTCTTGTTCCCAGGTGCTGCAGGGGTTTAAAATGCTTCATAGAAAGAGAGCTTGAAAATTAGGGTCAAATAAGGAGCAAGATGCATAAAGCAGGACTAACAGATGTTAACAAAGGGAAAGGGCTTAAGATAAAAGAAGGGAGATTTAGATGAGATATGAAAAGTCTTCCCTGTGAGGATGCTGAGGCGCTGGCACAGAGTGCCCAGAGAAGCTGTGGCTGCCCCATCCCTGGCAGTGCTCAAGGCCAGGTTGGACACAGGGACTTGGAGCAAGCTGCTCTAGCAGAAGGTGTCCCTGCCCGTGGCAGGGGTTGGAGCTGGAGGAGCTTTAAGGTCCCTTCCACCAGAAACTGTTCTGATTCGGTGATTAAAGCCCAACACTCAAACCAGTAATGCTCAAAATTCCCATCCATTTGCTGGTGACATTAACACACACCCAAAGCCCCCTGGTCTTGGCCAAAGCATCTTAGAAGCTAGCACAGGCCCAAGCCTTTGAAAGGCACATGACACTGATCATTACTATTTGTCCTGAAAGACTGGATCCCAGAGAGCCATGGGAATATCCATTCCAGATCAGGCACATACAGTATTCATCCCTTTTCCATAGATTAGTTCAGGAGTTAAGACACTGGTTTGGGATGCTGGGAGCACAGGGCCATAGCTCTTTCCTCCATCCCAGCTACCAAATTATGGGCTGCTCTGATGGGCAGCAGAAGCCTGTATATAAATCCTGCTCTTGATGGTTTGCCTTAGTGTGGAACATTTCCAGATGGATTAGACTGGAGAAAGGGAACAGGATGGTGCAGCTTGGAGCTTTAAAGAAAGAGCTCTTCTCCCAGTGGAGAATAGCTGCAAAGAGATTTAACCTCTGAACTGAAGGGCTCCAACACCTTTTCACTGGGGGAAAGCCACCATCTTGCCAAAATCCCAATCCACCACAAGCATTGCTGGAGAAGTCCTAAGAGTTTCAGCCCTTCCACACAGAGGCCAGACTTTGCCTACTCAGCAAATCCTGCCAGGGCAGAGGTGTTAAATAACTACCTTAAACCTCAGTGTCGCAATACTCCCGGTCCTTGCTCAATTGCCACCTGACCTTAGAGACTCCTAGAGCCTGCTCATGCCTTTCTTGACACCTTTAGCCAGCCCCAGAACTTGAATGCCATGAGAAGGTGTCCTGCAGTGCTCTCAAGAGGCCCACTTCCAAGCTATGTTTTGTTAAGGGTAATTAGTTGAGTAGCCAGAAGGGATGAGAGAGATAACTGGGAATGCCACAGCCGGAGCTGCGAGTGACCACTAGTCAGCATTGCAGCCTTTCGACAGAAAACACATTGTTTTCTGCTATGTGGACAAACAGGTTGGACTAATTACATATAATCATTATTATTTATGCTCTACAGACATCAGAGTTTTGTCTTTAAATGAATTTATAGGGGGGGGGGGGGGGGGGGGAAATCACAAAGCTGAATAATCCCTTTAATTATATGCTTAAAAATCCTGAATGGAAGAAATTAGGAGGCACAAAGGAACAAACATAAACTAATTATTCCTTCCTTTGCAGCTAACATATTTCTATAGTAACCACTATGGTCTTCGAAGAAATTCAATGATCTTTCTAAATCAGATCATCAGGAAAGTCACCCAGTAAAGCCACAAACCCAAAATCTTTCAAATAAGCCTAGAGATGAAGGAGGAAATTCCTGCTTTTCCCAGCTGTTCATCATTATAGCCATGAAACTGCATCTTCATCAAAACCACGAAGGAGATTCTCTCTTATGTGCTGTGTGGGGAGTCAGTGGATATTGGAATCCCAGACTGGTTTGGGTTGGAAGGGACCTTAAAGCTCAGCCAGTTCCAAACCTCTGCCACGGGCACACAGGTAATTTGTGTATATAGAAGAGCAGAGAGGACTTTGACCTGTTCTGTATCCTGCATGGCAATATGAGAAGGTGAACAGAAGAGAACATATGGTCTTCATAGTTGCACTTTCTGCTTGCACACTTATTTTTCAGTTTGAAGGCTTCTTGCACAGCCTCAGCTTTCTTGTGCATCTTCAAGTAGATTGTCAAGTATTGATTTAAATGTGGGGTGTCCCAGCTTTGTTTCTCCAGTACATGGAGAAGCACACCAGGTAGGCAAAGTTTTGGTAGGTCAACACATGGGAAGTGGAGCAGTATTCGGCAAAGACCAGGTTTACACATTTTTGTACATGAAATGTAGTGAATTAATCAAGCCCATTCACTTCAAACCCAAACCAGCCTGTCACCACCTTCCCATCATCAAACACCAGCTCAGAGGGTGCATTCCCAGGGCAGTAATTCAAGCAGAGTGGGCCCTGGAGCTGGCAGATCCTGGCTCTATGCGAGGTTCACCTCTCCAGGCTGTTTGTCAGCCAAAAACACAGTTCCTGCAAACACACCTCACTCTTCTTTTGACCACACTGCCAAAACCAATGGCTTCCCCTATCGCATCTGTGGCCATGCTGGCAGCTACAGATAAAGCAGTTAACTGAACAGACTCCAGCGAAGGGATTCAGTTAAGAGGAAAGTCCCTGCAGCTGAAGCTGAGCAGCAGGGTTCAAGCTTTTTCACAGAAGTCAGAATTTTTTCCCTTCCTTTGGTCTCCACTTGGCACTTTGACCATCACACTTTCAGATGTCTGCCTTCCTTCACTGCTGTGAGCAAAACAGGAACTTTGCTGCACAAAACTAAGTAGGATGCTCTATATGATCTGTCTCTATGCTGGGATGAGTTTCCGTCCCAAATACAAATACCAAGTAACTTCAGTGTCAGCAGGGACTGTTGGTTGGCTTTCTACATAACAGCCATCATAGGCTTTACCCCTGCTCTTGGATGGTTTTTGCCACAGCTTTGTAAGGACATGAGGACATGTCACGCATCCCAGGCACAGGCCAGCAAGAGATTTGTTCCTGCCTTTGGTTAACATAATATTCTTAATAGCAGCAATAACAGCTCCTATTAAGACACCCTGCTGGCTTCGGAGAACAGGTTCCTGTTTTCCTCAGGTTCTTATTTTAGAAGCTTCTGGGGACTATGTAAACATGTCAGCTAGAAACAAAAGAACCATAGAGATCATTTGCTGAGAGCTTGGGTGGGTGATCAGAGCAGGGAATATGACGGGTCTGGCTGGGCTGCTGCTAGAAAGAGGAGCTTTCCCATCGACTTCACTGGGAGACAGCAAGCTTGGCACAAATAGAGATGTACCAAGAGCAAGCAACACTGAGCAAACACTATCCAGGCTGGGGAAAGGATGTGTACACAACCTCACCACACTATGAGAAATTCACTTCCATTCAGTGCAAGACACCTCAGCTCTGTGCTGTGCCTTGTGGCCCCATTCTACATCTGCTCTGCCAAGTCTTTGTGCCCTTCGCTATGTTTAGTAAAAACCATAGTGGTTGAATGCTCATTTTGTGTTTGTAGTAACAGTTTTCCTCAAAAGATAACTTACACACTGAAATATCTCTCTAAAGTTAAGCTTGCTCACATCCCATCTTCCTTTTTCATTAATCCAGCAAAAATATCAAAAGCTCCATAATGAATGGCACCACTCTTGTAACAGACAAAAGAGCTGAAAAATCTTCATGAGAGTTTTTTGGCTCTTGATCCTCCAAAGCACTTAAGCAGGAGCTTAATTTACTGCGGGTAAGTAGATGTGGCTCCAGTGGGACTACATAGCTGATTAAAGAATAAATGTAATTGTCTCTATAGATCAATGCCTTAATTTATTCCTCCTGGAGTATCAGATGGATCCTTATAGCCTCTGATAAACTTGTGCAGTGCAACACACTAAGTCATTCAAACTATGAAACCACACACATGCTAATGGAAATCTATACCTAGCTAGGTATTAACATCCCTGTTCAAGTATTTAATTTCTATTGCATTTTCTAGTTAAATAAAGTAGGGTTTTTTTCAGAACTCTATATAGAGAGCTTACAAAAGCAACCCCACACCTTTGCCAACATCTTGACATATTCCAGAGCAAAAAAAGAACCCAAACCCACAAAACCAGACATTTACCAGGGCAGATCCCTTCAACAGGAACAAATTTAAGACCCTGGAAAGTAACTTCAGGTATTTGAAAGAATGAAAGGATGTTGAAGGCCAGCTACAGGGCATGAAATCAGATATTGGAGCTGCTTCTGTTGCTAGCTGGTGCTTTGGACACATGTTTATCTGCTCTTTAGGGACCCTTATTCTATAGGCACTGAAAGTGCATCCATCAGAGGTATGATTTAATGGCCTTCACAGCAACCAGTGACCCTACAGGAAGAATAAATGAGTGTGCGTTGTTCGCTGAAGGCGAAGGCATGTTTTGCACACATGATGTCACTCTTGCAACTCAGGAAGAACTAATTGCTCAGCTTGTTGTAAAGTCTCATACTCCTTGGGTTTACTTGCAAATTATAGTCGTCTGGAAAGCTGCAGTATGTCATCAGCACACAGCAATGCTGTCTGAAGCGTAATTAATATCTGTCTTTCTTTTCAAGTTCCTTATTTACCCTCTTTCCCCCATGACAAATATGTTAATGCCTTCTCCAAAACCCACAAGTTGTCATTTTCAAAGAGCCCCCGTCTTTCTGCCTTGAGCTCAACACTTTAGACTAAATCATGGGGAGCCTGTTCTTGCCCCCATTAAAGCTATTGAGGGTTTTGTCAGTGACTTCAGTGTAAGCAAACTCTCACAGGCTGTAATGGGAACAGGACCACAGACCTATTTTGCTTTGCACCTTCAGCCAGAGGAGAAAAAAAAGGCAGCACCACACCAAACAAACAACAGGCAGGGATTGCTTCGGAGTTCTGCAGGATTTTGAGTTGAATCAGGTGCCCAGAGCAACATGACCATCATCAAACCATCCAGTCTTATGGGTTGCAATGGATTACAGGGTCCTAAAAGGCTTTAGTTTTGATTTTGAGAATTGATTTTATATCTTGGGGGTTATTTCCAGCAATACTATCTGCTTACCTGATTCTCTTTTAAGTGCTTATCTGCAAAGAGTAAAATACTGCCCAGAGCTTAATATAGTAGCATGTGAAAATAAACATACAAAAGATGTGTATCAGTGACAGCAATAACTGTACTGGTAGCCCAGACCATTACTGAGAACGTTTGCCACCAGCTCATGAAGTACAGCTCGCACAAGTACCAGGACTTGGATAACTCTGAATGTGTGTGCCCATTTTTGTGTGTGCCCCTTTACAGATGAGTCATGTTTATAAATAATAAATATATTTACACCAAAATCAGAAATAGGATCTCCTGTATTTCACTACCCATATCGGGGTCCTACTTTTCCTTTTGTATTAAAGGAAAAAAATCCCCTGATAAAATCATCTGCCATGCAGCAGAAATCTCTGTGCAACAAAAGTACTATTTCCACTAGTACGTAACTGTTAGCTTCAGATGTGAGTAAAGCATTTCCTTTTCCAAGCTTTAAACACATGGCAAGTCCCCATGCTGTGTTTATCAAGTTTTCACATGTTTCTATCCCTCCACAATTAGCAAGGTAGATCTTCTGGAATTCTTACTGTATTACTAATGTGAATGTACTTGCAGGTAAGAAACTACAAGATAGGTTATAAATATCTTGTTTTGCCCATAGTGCTGTAACATAGAAGTTTAGACACCCATTTTCTTCCCAAAACATCCAGCTGTATCCAGATTTCCGCATTAACTCATACTTAGCTCACCTCTCCCATTGATCTAGAACACCTTGTAGACCCTCTTGGGACCATGAGTACAAGTAAATAGTCATATTTAACTCCAGCTCAGCAGCATTACAGGAGCATCAGTAGCGGTGGTTTTGAGGGTTAACATGGTGTCTGAGGGACACTTCTTGGTCTCTGCACTGCTGTGGTCTTCACCAAGTAAATTTTACATTGACTGGAGCATCTTTATCCAAGCACTTTTGCTCAGTCAGGAGCACTGTAGCACCCTGTGAGGTTTCCAATGAGAGCACTGAGGTCAGGCTTCCAACAGGGTGTAATATAGAGTCCCAGTCCTGCTGACTGAGGGAAGCCCATAGTCTGCAATCACTTCTGCACGTGTTCTACAAGCCACCTGCTATTTACATTTTTAAAAAGGGGTTTATGTTACATAGGTAGAGCAGAATGACAGAAAAGAATCTGTTTCAGCAGGATTTGTTTTTAAAGACATCTATTGATCCTCATTCCATCATGGTTTAGATGTGCTTCTTCAGCATTAGTGTAAAACCCTCCTGCATTCATCATGTAATAAAGATAACCCCCCTGCATCTAAAAGCATGCAGAACTTTCTAAAGTCTGCCAGACAAAACCCAGTGGATTTTAATGATCTTCTCTTCCAGCAAGAAATGGACAGCTCTTAGAACAGGGGCTATGATTCAGGATTCTTGGGTTCTGGTCTTCGTTTTGCAATCCGATCGCTGCCAAGCTACCTTTGACACCTCTGTGCCTCAGCTTGCCTGGTTCATAAATGGGCCCAGCAACACCTGTCACATGGGCTTGAAAGGTTGAGTTAATTGCTGCTCATAAATCATATTGAGAGCCTTGAAAAAGAGAAATACATATATATGCAAAGTAGTTGTGATGTTGTAATAGAGTTGCATTGCTTTCAGATGCAGTGTTCAAAATTAAACTCTTAAGAGATTCATATTTCTTGTATCACTTTGCTGACCATTAGCATTAAGGATTTCTTCCAGAATATTCAAAACCTAGGTACAGTATTTGTGCAATTAAAGACAACGCTACTCATCACACTTACAGGGGAAGATGCTGGCATAGGAACAACTTTCTCTTCATCTCTCAGTGAAGAGGAGTGAGCTTTGCAAGCATTTCAAGGGCTGTAGGGCCCAAATCTATTCACCATTCCTAATCAGCCTCGCAAAGCAACACTGCCACTTTATAAGACACACATCCTACATTTAATAGCTCAGTTAAACAAATGCTTCTCCTCCATCTTCTTAACCAGCACATTGGGTGGCTGAAGGATTTAAAATGAGGCACCTTCACTTTGTGAAGATCACAAGCTGCGAAGTTTGGATTAGATAAGAAATTCCCTATTTACACTTTAATGTAAGCCTCAGTTTTCCTCCTGCCCACCAGGAAGACAAGGGAACACCGCCAACTTTCAATCCAGAACTCAACAGAACCCAGTGAAGATGTCTTTTACTTGGGCTTTTGGCCTAATTTCACCTCTAAGAGCCAAATTGGATAATTTCTGTGCCTCCTCCACATAGCAGTGAAGTGGCACAAAAAGCAATAAGATTCATGGAGGTGCCTATAGCAAGATGACTCCATTCCTACACATTTCTCCCACTGCTCCTGCGGGTTGAACACTCCCTGTGCTCCAGGCAGACCCTGTACACAACCACAAGTGGATCTTCGGAGGAGAGAGGACTTGAATCCCTGCTGAGCTGTTCCATCCTGGTAGGGTTTCTAACCACACAACTATGACAAAATCCCAGACGATGAGACCTTTGGAGACTTATCCTTCACCCCTAGCCAGGGCACCAGCATAAGCTCCATTCCCAGAGCAGCTTACTCACTCCGTCCTACAACTCATGTTAAACAGGCAGGTGAAAGATTAGCCTTTTACTTAACCATTTCAAATGGAATTCTTTCTGGTTCTTACACAGATGGCTGCGCTTCAACATGGGAAAATAAAGAAGTTACTGTCAAGCTGGAAATGCTGAGTATGCTCCATAAAATGAACCTGATGTCTTGGTGATAGTATGGCAACTTGACTTTGGTGCTAAATTTCAGCTGAACAGAAAAAGGCAAGCGAAGGCATCTTAACATTTTAGTAGCCACCTACTATTATAGGAACAAATCAAGCTACAAGAACAGATTAGGATTTATTTCTTGCTTGAAATCAAGAGAAGCATCAAGTATGCCGGATTGCCCAAATTCTGACCTGAATCTGAATCAACCATATTGTAACAAGAAGGGGCCTGGACACTGAATAGAGCCATCTATGTGCTAGAGAATGTAAATAGGGACAGGTAATATAAATAACACATGACTGCAGGATCTGGCCCTCATTTGGGGGCAGAATGCTGAAACTATAATTGCTCTTGCAATGAATAGCTGATGAATGAAAACAATTAGTCATTTTATTTAAGCTGCTGTTCGTTCTGCCAACACAAGTTTACAGAAGTCATTAGTCAGACTGCACACGGAAAGGAGGAAGAAGTTAAGAAATTTCAGTTCTAAAAATCATTAGATTGAAAAAAAGCCCCCAAACTGATACAGATGCTCAGGCTTTCTCTTGCTGTCTGGTGGGTCCCTTTTTTTCCAAGCTTTTACCAAGTGATGAAAACTAGAGGGTTTAGCATGTTTTTTTTAAGAAGACAGCAAGCAAACCAAGCCTTGGGACTGTAAGACAGAGGACCTTATAGGTTGTCACAAGACTTGGGATAAGATTTGGAGCATAGGAGCAGTGCAGGGCTGGGCACAGGCCATCAAGGAGTGAGGCACTGTGCCTGCTGAGGCATGGCCTCCCTCCTGTGGGCTGCACTGAAATTCAACAGCAGGTTGGCCATGGAAGTAGGCCAACACAAGCACCACGGGGCAGGATGGAGGGGCACGGCTGTCCCTGAGCCTCCTCCTCTGACTGCCCTGTAGGGACAGGTGGCTCCTCAGCAAGCCCACCCAGAGTCCTGCCAGTCCCACATGTCAGCCAACCCCACTGCATCAAGACCAGCAAGAAACACCTCACCTCTCTGCATTTAACCTTCTCAGGTTTGAAGGTTTGGAGAACCAGGGTGTCCAGCCCTGTCAAGAGTCTCCTAATCCATTAGGACACAAACACTGGCTGCCAAGAGCAAACAGTCATTTTATGCCCAAACTCAGTGCATGAGGAGATGCGAGACAGTGGGTCAGCAGAGCAGGAGTGCATGGGAACAGTGCTCTGCCTCAGAGCCAGCATGGGTCTTGGCATACCCACCGACTCCCCATTGCCGAGAGGCTTTCAGCATCAGCAATGAGAATCAGGTGGAAACTTTGTGCTTTCCAATACCTTAAAACAAAAGGCAGCTTGTAAGACTTTTCCCCTTTCCTGGGGACTTGAAGTAGTGGTTCCAGCTTTGCCTCGCAGCTATTCACAGCATCAAAAGCATGCTCATGAGATCGTACCAAGCTACGGCAATACAGCTGAAGAGGAGCACGTGTTTTTTTTTATTATAACTTCCAAAAGAAGCCATAAATGCACCAACCCAGACATTGTTTCCCATCTTTCCATCAATGGCAATTCAGCATTTCACAAAGTGCATTTTACCAGAATGCACCAGAAATCAACCAGATTCTAGTGGAGGTTGAGTTCTGTGATGCTATTAGTTAACGATTCTGTGAAAGGGACCACAAACCAAATGTCTGGATACAAGCACACATTTGTTTAACCACAAGGAAGGAAAAGTTCTATCAAAGTATACAAAGGCAAGATAATCTTGATGTAGTCTCTAGATGGTCAACTCTGTATGTGATCTATCCGCTATATTTCCCTGGATGCTCCAATCTCCATTCTTTTCACCTCTGTATTTAGTATTTGCAAGTCACGGTGCTCATTTTCCTAAAGAATATAGTATCTTGCTGCAAAACACACCAAGACTGAACAGTTACTGGATCCCCAGCAAGACCCGCACAGAACACAGTGGTCTTCTCACTCCTCTTCACCAAGGACGCAGCACACCAACAGGGAAGATACACAGTGGTTACAGCTCCTGCTAGTACCTTCTCTTTGGCTAAATGGGATGTACATGCCCTCATAACCCAGCTTTATTTTCATTTATTCTTTTAAGCAAAAGTTCGTTAGGCACAGACTAATAGAGTGGAAAGTTTAACACATTTAATGGTCATAAACAAGTCTTTGACAGAGTCTGAACAAGACTAATAGGTAAAGGCAACTAATGTTTCTTTGCTTCAGCTATACTGTCTTTGCCATCACAAAAAAAACCTGCCGTAAAGACGCTTCAGATTTTTTTATCTGCTTTCTAAACATGTGCTGCTCAAGGAAGTCACTCTATAGCTTATTCCCCTGGCTGAATTTCCATATGCCATATGCTTAGAAGCAGAAAGGAGCCTTTCTGCAGTCCTGCTGGTTGAGTGAATCCCCGTGAACCTCTTGTCTGCTTGGATCTCCAGGAAGTAGCATTGAATCTCCTCAGCAGTGTTTTAATTGGCACTGCGAGGACATGCTGTCATCACCCCTCTTCATTCTCTAATGTATCGTTCCAAAATCATAATGCTACTTCTCTAATTACTTTATTTGGCAACCCAAAAATAAAGTGTAATTACAGTGCTCACTATTAGCCTGTAAGGACAGAGGACCAGATCATTTGGAGGACAAAAAAAACTCAGGCCATTAGGTCCTGCTCACAGTCAAACATGAGTCTCCAAAGGAAATGTGTGGTTGCCCATGAAATATTGCTGGCATCTTTGGGAGCAGTTTTGCTTTAGAGCAATGTTGAACCAATACTCCAGCATGACAGAGGCACAGTAACTCTGGATATGGCATATTCCCATACGAGATGCTGAACAAATGTCTTTACCACATGTGGTCATTAAAGATTTGATGTCAAGATGAAAGGTGTTAACCTTGGAAACCTGGCCAGACTCCAGCATGGGTAATTACATTCTGCCTCCCTAAGCAGTTCTCTGTAGAGTTTCAGCTGGACATTTCAGATCTTAAACCGTTATGTAGCCCTGCTGTGAGTGGCTTAAGAGAAGGACTTTTTGATCACTGTGACAACTCACTGATACTGTGCATCAACAGCTCGTATTACGAGTTGCAAACCTTAGAGCAGTAACAAATCATGCCATGCAAAAACTACTCCAGTTACTGAGCACTGCTGCAGCCCTTTTACACGTGAGTAGCTCTAGGAATGCAGAGAAACCTACTGTGCAGATAACCGCTGTGGGTTGGACCTTTTGAAAAGGAAAGATTGTATTTTCACTCACAGTGCCTGCCTTGGAAGAAACTCACAGGCTAGGGTTGCTGTTTACTGGCATTAGCTGTTTGCACTGTGTCACTATTTCTCATAGAAGCAGTCCTGCTTGGATCCGAGAGTTATGGGCAAATTTTGCAGTCTTCTAACACCATTATCAAGTGCAAATATGGCATGTGTAGCCTGGCCACTGGATGCTACCAGCACATTGAGCACTGCATCACTGAGACCTGCTCAGCAAGTAGAGCATTTACAATGCCAGACACTTCTCAAGGAAGGCTCCCCAGAGGCAGTATCTACATTGCTGGGCAGATGCTCCCTGCAATCCTTGTCCCAAGGTACACACCCTCGCCCCACACTGTCTGTTCCAGCAGATCTGTATGCACAGCCATCCCCCACGTGCACTAGTTTTCTTTGTGAGGAAGCCAGGGCATGCCTGGGGATGGGAGCAGAGCTGCATGCCGAGAGGTCCATAGCTGGTCCAGGGGCTGGGGCAGTGAACAGTAACAAACTGCAGCCTGACTTCAGAGGGCAGGCAGAAAGAAGCACTAAGAATATTTGCACAAGTTTCCCAAGTGTTAACAAGACTGTAGTTATTACCATCCTCATTAGGACTATCTTTTCCTCATAAAACAGAATCCTACTTTAGCTGAAGCAGACAATTCCTAGAAGTTCCATACTGAACAACACTGGCTCCATGCAAAACCCCAATGCAGAGATTCACTGAGGTTGTAACACAACTGATTTAAATGCAAGAGACTTCAAGGAGTGTGAATTCACACACAGCACAGGAGATTGCTCTAAAATATGTTGACCATCTTATGAATATAAGGTTAGAAATAAATCCTTATTTATGTAAAAACTCCTGAGCCTACCTGATCTTGATTGATTACTATGCTATCTTAGATTTCAGAAGAGCTTTAATAACACTATGCAGTAACCAGAGGCAGTGATGATCTCCTTTCAATGTTAAGTTTCTGACACCGCAAAGAACAACGTGGATCATTTGCAGGAATTTTCCCAGTGCTCAACATGCAACTTATCAAATTCCCTTCAAGCATTCATCACACCCATGCAAATAATTTATTCTTCCCCACACTTTGTGTTTGATCACAATGACAACTTAGTGCAGCCACTCTGTATCAAATACATTATGGAGCTTCAAACCTCAGAGCAACAGCTAAATCACATTGAGGAGAGGATCCATTCCTGCAGTCCCTGCACACACAGTTACACCTCATGGACACAGTAAGATTCAGTTATGTCAGCAAGGACTGCAAAACCAAGACCATGCTGTTGAAAAACAATCTGTTAATCCTGAAAAGGATTAGCACACTGGATGATAAGAAAATGCTTGAGACCATTGTTACAAGAAAGGCACTTTGATTATAAACTAGTTTTTTATCATTTACAAGTCACCTGTCCTGCAAATACACATGCACTAATTTGTCTATGAAACCCCTGGGAAGCCACAAACAGGTTCCAGGATCTGCTGATTAGTGTAAGCAGTCTGTCAGAACAGCTTCAGCAAATAAAAGAAATGCAAAGTACTGAAACATACCTAGAGGACAGAGTCTCCTGGCTGAGCAGGATTGCAGGCTGGCACCCAAAGAGCCCGTAATTTGGGATGGAACGGCTTCTACAAATCAATCAGTACAGAAAGCAAGCATCACACAAGCTCTGCATTTACCAGGCACTGTTTGACAGCAAGAAACAAGCTACAGCATAGAAAATTTCTATGTATTTTAAGCCTCCATCCCAAACTGACTCCTCATACAATTCATCTGCAGGCTGTAATTTACTAAATCCATCTGTTGTTCCTGCAGCCTGCTTTCTGGAAATGCTGCATTTCAAGGGTCTGCTTGTTAGAGAAGGTCAAAGAGTAAAGCAGGCCCTTTCATTTTAAGTGACTTGAAAGAAAAGGAAAGGAAATTTATATTTAGAAATAGCAATGATTAACTAGGGGAAATATATTAGAGTATTAAAATAAATGACATAGACTAGCTCTTACTTCCAATTAGGCTGACTTTACTTCAAGAAAAATATTTATATACAAATATAAAAAGCCAGGGAATGCCAACCTATACTGAGATGAAAGCATCTCATAATATAATTCATGTTTAGCCATTAAAATGGTTGATCATATTTTTATGTACTTTTTCTTCTTGCCCTTCTCAAGTCTCTGCTTCTGTGCTTTCTTCTCTAGTCACCAAGACTTTTAGCAACTTCTGTCTGTTACCAAGCTGCCTCTTGCAACCACACACCTTCCACATCTCTACAGCCTTTAGAAACACCTCATCTGCTACTACTGCATCATTCCTGGACCCATACACATCACAAGCGGACAACTAACAGACTGGCCACAGAATTAAAGACACAAATTCCCATATGCATCAGTCCAAAACTAAGGGTCTCAAGAGCTGAAGTCTGGACCAGAATCCACCAACTGCAGATTGTATTCAAGGCTTCTGTTATAGCCCACTGGTTGGGCAGGATAAGGAACACCAAAGCCACTTCAGAAAAACAGAAGCAAGCTGTGGGTAACCCCTGAGTATACCTTTATGATGAGCAGAGAGCTGGTGGTAGAGTGCAGAGCCACAGAAGTCAACCCAGCACCCCAGAGGTGAGCCTACGGCCCCATGGTCATCCACAAGCTTGCTTTAAATGAGCAAGCTCACATACCACTAGTGCTGTAGCTATCATCAGGAAAGAAAGAAGTAGCCCTCTGCCCCCTGCTTAAATACCCAGGTGTCAGCTTCCAATTAACCAGTCAAAGGTGCAGCACACCCAGCTGCAGTCCTTTTCCAGGGCTGTGCTACAGACCATGGTCACAGCCTTAAAGGGCCCAATAATTGACACCATACGAAGCAGTTACTGAGGGAAAACACAATTAATACAGCTGGACTTTGACCAGGAGATTGGAATCACCATCTGTACAAGTGCAAAAGTATCCCAGGACTCTTATTGGCATGAGCAGTCAGGCTGTCAGTCTAAGAAACATCTCAAGTTTGGGTGCGCTAACGTCATGCGGGAACACTGGTTCAGTTCTGACTCAGAAGAATCCATGTCACCTACTGAGTCACCAAAACCATCCCTTGCAGCATGGGTTTCCTTGGAGTCCCCTTTGTAAGCTCTACTTAGGCCTGGCCCTGTTTTGCCTATACGATTTAACACGGTGGAAGTCAAGAGTCATATGATGCAATGAGCTCCAGAGTTTGTTTGTTTTCTTAGGGGCTCTCCCTCCCTCCCTCCAACTGCAGCCCTACCAAAAGGCCTTTGTCTAAGGGGCAGAATAAGGAGCATAGCAGAGTGTTCGCATTTACTTTATGGAAGAGCTACTCCAACAACTCCTCTCAAGCCTCTGAAGTCAGCTCCAGTACAGTTATTTGGCCTAAGTTCATCTAAACTAAATGGGCTGACTTGGTTCAAATATATTGCACAACCAAATGATAAAATTGGGAAAGGGGGGGGGGGGGGCGGGGGAATGATTAGTGATGACACATGTATTTAACACTGCATGTCTCCTCTTTCCAGATTAGGAGGAGCTGGCAAGCTTCAGTCTGTACACATGCCAACAGCGGATGTCGGCACATATACAACACTTTTCAGAACAACATACTGTTGAAACATGTAGTTCAACTCAAAGGCACCCCTTCTGTTCAGCTAGCCCAAAACAACTATCTGGATTGTCTTGCTTAATATGGTAGGATTTGTAGCACAGCTCTTAATGCTGCTTTAATCTGGTTTCTTTATAGACACTTTTGAAGTGCAGAGAAGTAGGAAGGAGCGACTGTGCTGTACTTTGCACAAGGTCCCCCACATCCACGTGAAACAGGGGAGGTGATGAAACTGCTGACAAGAGGGAAATGGCAAGGAAAAGGGGGTGGCATACCCGATGCAGGAATACAAGCCTCCCTTCAGCCTTTACCTTTCCTCACTTTCCTTTTATTTCCAGTCTGAAGCACAGAGAAGTACGATGCTGACAGGCTCACCCTGGCTTGTTGTCAGTGTGTCTCCAGAAAGCCATCAGTTAGGATGGGAAAGAAGTAACATCTGCAAAATAAATAAAAATGTATATGAGTGGTAGCTGAAGTGTTCTGCATTCATTAGCAGACAGCTCTGCGCACTGAATTCAGATTTGTAAATATGTTCAGTTCCTTCCTCCTTTTCCTGTCAATAATTTTGGTGTGAACACTTATAAATTCAGTGTTCTGGCCCCTCCAGTCCCATGTTCTTTTCTCTGCTTCATTCCCCCTCTCAGCTCTTCAATTATTTTTCTTCTTTCTCACAGCAGACAACACTCATAAACTAAAAATCATGCAGACAAAAAGCCCTAATAAACACAGAGAAAGACACATTTTGGTGTGGGTCTGGAGCGGTGCTGAGTGTATCAGAAGCGATCAATACGCCCCACATGATATGGATGGCTTTTAGACATTGGAATCATTTTCCTTTGGCTTCTGATCTGGCCACCCCATCCCACCACTACCCTGACAATTTCCTTTGAGTCTCACTTCCTACCAGCTGCTTGCATTTCTTTCCCCCTTTCTTTCTGCATAGCTTTAGCACTGGGAAGGTGATCAGCCTGCAGAGACTCAGGGAGGGCTTCCTGCCGTGGGACTCAGAGGCATGTTCGTGTAAGGCAGGAGACTGCCAAAGCCTCCAGCTCTGTTCTGCACAAGTTTGATGTGCTAATGTGGGGATCACAGAAAGAGCTGCAGCCAAGGCTGTCATAATAATCGTAAGCCCTTTTCACTCTTCACCAGCAGCACCAGTCCCCACGGGTACCTCTCGATGAAGCAGCCTCTTGTGTGGGTCTCTTTCCTTTCATTGCCCTCTTGAGCATCCAGAGAGCACTTCTCCAGTCAGATGTCCCCAGTCACAACTACACCCAGTTTCAATGTCTACTGTCAGTTCAGCAGTGCACTGCTGCCATCCAGCCCTGTTTCCAGCAGTGATCCTCATTCAGTTCTGTCTAACTCAGGTTTCATGAAATAATTCTTTTAGTGCCCTTTTTAACTGTCTTTTAGACAGGCGCTCATTTGGACAGAAGTAGGCTGGGGACTGTCTATGTGTGAAATTACACTGCCCCATCTGATGGAGTACAGTCAGCTTTGGTGGGAGATGTGCAAGAAGGGAAGATGCAGTTGGAAGCTGGGTCTGGATAATAACCTCTTAACCAGGCTCAGCGTGGCCTGGATAACATGTCTGAGCAGAGCCTGGGCTAAAAGAACAATATTTGGATTTCTCCTGTACTTTGTTCCATGCAGTGTACAAACAGGAATCCCAGGACAAAGTGTACTCCATGTGAATTGTACCAAATGCACTGCAAGGGGCTGCTTCTGTTGGCTTGTAAGGATCTGGTTAAAATGCAGAGGACACTGCCAGAGAAAAAAGGAACCTAGTCGTTTGGTTTGGTAAAAATAAGCTTTTATGGACACAAAAATCAACGTACTTTTCCTATGATTGATGGAAAAACAGTTATGGAAGCAATGAGTGATTCTGCAAATCCATCTTCATGGGTCCTTTTAATTTAGAGGCATGACTCATCGGAGCAGGGACTACTTGGATGGTTGTATGACCACAGGATGCAGCCCTGGAAAAGTGTTTTTGTAAACAAATAAACATGCTCCTTCCTGTTGGAAACTCAGATCTTTCAGCACTGGGCAAGCGCCTGAGAACCTGACAGGGAAAGGAGTAAGAAATATTAAACACAATGCCAGTTGCTTGGTCCAGATCCAATAGCAAGAGGTGAATGAAACACATCGAGTGAAAAATAGATGAGTCTTTTAAAGTCCTTTAATAATCTGAAGTGTTGTTTGCATCAGGAACAAAGAAAAGACATGTTAAGTGGAAATTGCCTGCAGAGACAGTCTTACAGCCTGGCAAAACGGAAACAGAGGGGATCTTCTAGACAAAGCAAGACCTAAAATCTGCACTGGGGTATTTGACAACAGCTTGTGCTATGTTGTGCTGTATGTGCAGGGAGTTATCCAAAGATCACATCTCCAAAATGGATTTCACACTATGGCTTTTGACATCTGATGAAGTCTTTGGAGAGAGATTATCCTCTTTTCCTGGAGAAAGCAGGATGCTGGCTCCCATCAGCAGGCTGCTGTGCCTTCACTACTTGCCTCCCAAGGGGAAAAAAGTCCCAACAGCTGGAAACATTTCCAGAAAAGCATGTAGACAGTAGAAAACAAGCTAAATATTGCAATGTCAGGGAGTCGATTTTCTGTTCATATTCTAAAAGCTATCTTTTGGCAGCTGCTAGTGAATCCTTTAAGTACGTTTAAATCAATGCAGAGAGTCAAAGAAACACTGAAAATCATGTGAGATTAAGACGGGCAGAGTGAATCAAGTAGGGAAACGGCTGAGCAGCTGCTGGAGCCTTTTTGCTGTCACAGACCAACAAAGTTGGAGGATGCTCCAAACCAACACAAAATCCGGCTTGTGCCCAGGCCCAGGTGAGGGAAGGAAAGTCAGAGTGGGAAGAAGAATGCAAGGTTTTGCCCTTGCCTTAGCTGGGTCGAGATGTTTCAGTTGCAAACGATAGATCTATTTTACCTATTAGAGCTTGTCTAGACTAAGGAAATGTTCCTTCTATGACTATGCTGAGGTAATTACACCAGTGTAAACCCCTTTGGGCAAAACAGAGCTTTCAGTGGCCTGATTTACTCTGGTCACTTGCCAGGTTTAGTTCAGCTGGTACCAGCCTATCCTTCAGGAGCTCCTGCTCCCAGCTGGAACCCCACACAGGAGTTTTCTTCCATCTCATCTGAAACATTTGTACTGCCTATCTATCAATCAAACCATCCTCTGGGATGATCTGCAAATGTTCTTCTCCAAAAGAAGGGTAAATATTTAGAAGGTGCCTCTGTTAGTAGAGAATTGATTAATTGGCTACAAAAATAACTCTGGTTTTAAACTAAAGCATACTTTGGTTTGTGCATGCACATCAAGGAAACATATTTGCTGCAAACACAGTGAAATAGGAAGGCAGATGTAGGATGTTCAACCTTCCAGGGGCAGATGTGTCCCTTACGTTAAATGAACTTGTATGAGAAGATAAAATGTGTCCAAAGAGAGTAAAATGGGAGCTATTCCAAAGAGATTCTATTAAATTAATAAAAAAATGAGGAAGAAAAAACATGAATTAACTAAATCCAAGTGCTCACTCTGAAGCGCCTTTTAAAGAACAGAAGAGGAAACTTTAACCTAGAAATCAGTGGCAACATTTACATTGACTTTAAAGGAGAGGCTTCACTCAATACGTGTACCATGAAGCCACATAACACCGCTGTGCGCGGAGCGGTACAGAAATGCATGTGCTGAGTTTCACACACAGCCCTCAGAGAACAGGCTGATAAATGCAGGATGAGGAACAGAAGGATTGACAGGCAGACTTGGTTATAATTTAATCTGGTTTACTGTTATCTGCAGGTGCTACGGTTAAAATGTTCTAAAAAGCCATTGCACACCTTTAATTCTGAGCAGTTACTGGAAGGCCAGTTAGAAACTCCAACAGTGGAACAAACAGGCTGCTTTGAAAGTCTCCTTTCCAAAAAAAAAAGGAGGGGGAAAAAAGTATGTCTGAAGCACAAAGATGACATCAGAAAAGTGCCTCAATTCACACATGGCTGCACCTCTCCAAAAAAATTAAACCAGGAACCCGGGATTGATTTAATCACCCATACAAGCGAAAAAACGTAATGAAGATACTCGGTGCCAAATTGGTTTCTTGGGACCTTTTCCATGTAAATAATACAAATCAAACCTTGAAGTTCAGTGCAGATATGATCTGACAAGTAAGCCAGGCTCTTGCTTTTACTTTGATCCAGCTCCAGAAATATTTTATCCAAGGTAAAGTTGGTTTTAAGTGTTTTCCATTTCAGTTTTTAATTTTGGATATTCATCATATAGGAAACTTGCTTATAATGCTTAAAACATCAGCCTGGCTGCACCGACTCGCCACACCACGCAGCAAGATTTCCTTCTCTTTTGCTCCTAAGAGGGAGAACATAAAGAGCTCCCGATGCAACAGGGGTTCAGTTTCTGCTCCCTCTCTTGTTTTAATGATACAGTGAATGTGGACAACCCAAGTGGCGTACTTCCATACATCAAGTCAAGCTGATTCCAGTAGCTTCAGCACTGTGTCACTGCTCATAGGTGGGCCGGTGAATAACACTTCTGAATGTAGTAAGATAAACAGGCCTTTGTTTTCTGAGTGATGCCCCCAATTCTCCCCATGCTGCCATTCCCTCAGTATGTGTCTGTAACAGTGTCTTCTCTTGTTAGAAAACCTCCACATTAGGCTTACTCCAGGTTTTTTAGTATTTTACTTTTATACTTATTTGTTAAAAATACTTTAGAAATCTATTTTTACTCCATTCTAAAGCCAGGATGAAGATTCTGCAGTTCAGAAAACTATATATATATACAGATATATACACACGTATATATAAACCCTGAACCTTGTTCAAGATTCCCACTGTTGTGTGCCTCAAGACAGATTTAGGCACCTTGCTACAGGCATCCACATTGCCACAACTCAGCTCTTGTGAATAATGTAAAATCCTCTGGATTCTCTTACTTGCACAAATTGGCATGTAGTATATTTAGAATTAACAGGGCCCCTTTTTCCCTTTTCACTCGAATATGTGGTGTAAGGTTAATGAAAATAAGATGGATCTTTTATTTTGGGTCTTAAATCTAGTATTATTAAATGTGCCCACCAGAAATGTAAGATAAAATATTTGCTCTGCTTGAAGATTATGTGATATTTGTATTCTAAGCCTCACCACAGTGGGTTTCTTTAAATAGAAGCTATACTTTACTCCTAAATTGCTTAAGGCAAAGGAAGCAGAGATGATGTTTTTATGAATGTTTAAATGCAAATGGAACTGAGAGTGAATGCTATGCTAGCTAACATCAAAGGCTCACCAAAGTCTCTGCATTAATGAGGCTCTTTGTTTCCTGGATCACAGATTACAACAGGTTTCCAACTCATTGCCAAGGCTTTATCTCCATTTGGGAGGGCTGTAAATCTCAGACGATTTTTTTCACATGCAAAACAAGAGGATCATCTGAAAGAAGAGAGAGGGAAAAAAATCTTAAAGTAGCAAATATTTCATTCAAATGATTATTACTCAAAGTGGCTGCAGCTTATTTGATTTTTGTGATGTTTAAAAGAATGGAAATTTGCAGACGGAGTTTCCTATGGGGCAGCCCTCACTCATCTGGATGGGAGAGCCGAGCAGGAAAAAAGCAAAGAGCATCTTTTCCCTCTCTCTTCGCACAGCGTAAACCCGGCCTCCGAATCAGACCGAGAATTCTGTGTGATGCAAAATCAGCAATTAGCAGAAAGACGGATTTTGCTTCATTTAAATACATTCAGGACTTTTCAAAGTGGCTCCAACTCGTTCTTCTCCTCCCCAAAAAGTAATGAGATTATATCCCCAGTAATAATACCCTAATTAACAAGAAAAATAGGGACCAAGATTTTTAGCTTCCTATTCAAGGGCTGAATGTGACAATATGGAGTATATTGGGTCATAAAACCCAATTTACATGGCGTCATTACAGTCTGTGCAGCAGTCTCCAGGACCCAGGGCTATCTTATGCAATCTTAATTAAGGAAAATAAATATCGGGGTGTTGTTTTAAGCTACCGGAGACATGCACAGGACCTGTCGTATGTGATCACAAGAGATGGGGAGTTTCCTTTTCCATGGGAACTGCTTGAAAATCCCTCCGACGCCGACACAGAAGTGTCTCGTGTCCTCGGAGCGGGCTGTGAGGAGGGTAATTTGTGTTTCCTGACCCGCGGGGCCACTCAGGAAAACTCATCATTTTTGGCAGTTCAACATCATGTCTGTGCTGGGAAGGGGCCAGAATGAGGGATGGTGGCATCACCCCGGGCCTGGTGTGAGCTGTGGCCACTCTCTGTGGACATAGGCACCCACATGTGCTGTGAGCATCCACGGCCAGCAACATACTGCCCTTGTGTGCACACGTGTGTGTGTACACATGTATGTGATGTGTCTGTCTGTGCACACGTGCATGTCCTGATGTCTGCCTCTGTGCACACACGTGTTGACCTGTCTGTGTGCACACTTACATGACCTGATGTGTCTCAATGTGTGCACACATGTATGTGTTGATGTATATCTATGTGTGCACGTGTGTGTTGATGTGTGCCCATGTGTGCACTCTTTAACATCCCAAAGTGTTCCAGTGTGATATGTGTTGATGTGTGTCTGTGTGCACACACAAGCGTCCTGATGTATGCCTGTTTGTGCATGCGTGTTAATGTGTGTCTTTGCACTCATACATGTCCTGATGTGTCTGTGTACATGCATACATGCTGTTACGTGTCTTTGTGCACACATATTATGAGTTGATGTGTGTCTGTGTGTGTGCATGCATATACATGGTGATGCGTGCAAACATACATATCCTGATGTGTCTCAGTGTGTGCACACACGTGTGTTGATGTGTGTCTGTGTGTGCACGCATACATGTACTGACATGTATCTGCAGCTCCATGTACAGATCTCTGTCCTCTGTGTTTAGTTGTTTTAGTGCTGCCCATCTGGTTATAGATTCATGGGCAAATGTGAGCATGCAGATGTGTTTGTGTGTGCAGATGTGCTGCTGCATGCTGCTGTGTGCAGGTGTGTGCTCATCAGAACGATGATGCATTCAGGGCTATGTTTGGATCCCACTGGTGTGTGTAGCTCACTGCTTGTATGTGCCAGATGTGCGCTGATCTGTGTGTAGAGACTATGTGGGGCCGCACCAATGCAGATGTATGCTGATGCCTATTACAGACCATGTGCACGGACACGCTGAAGATGCACACATGCATGCAGCTGTGTGTGTGCAAATACATACACAGGTGCAGATGTGGGGGGGGTGCTCATGAGTGTGTGCACAGATGTGGAAGCAGGCACGTGTGGCCACAGGTGTGTGCGCAGATGTGTTCGCACAGATGTGTGCGCACACATGTGTGTGCAGGTATGTGCGTGTACACATGTGCGCACAGGTGTGTGAGCTGATTGTGTATACAGGTATGTGCCCACACCCGGGAGGGCTGCACAGAGCCCCCATTTCAGGCCACCATGGGGCCCAATCCCACACATCCCCCCTCGGATCAGTGCCGGAGGGGGCTCACCCCGTTGGGCAGGGCTGTCGGTCCCTTTAAGACGAGCACTCCAGGACCGTGTGTGCATGTGTGTGTTCATGTGTGTGTTCATGTGTGTGTTCATGTGTGTGTTCATGTGTGTGTCTGTGTGTGTCTGTGTGTGTGTGCCCGCCCCCGGCCCCTCCCCGCCGCTGCCAATCACCCGGCGGCCGCTTTGATGCCGGCAGCCGTCGCCCGCCGCGCCGCCGCGCTCGCACACAGCCACCGGCCGCTCCGTGCCTCCGGTGCCGCCGGCGCCCGCTGATCACAGGGCAACTTTCCGGGGCTCGGAGGGGCCGGGCCGGCGGCGGCACGGAGAAGGGGGGGGGCGGTCCGGTCCAGCCCAGCCCGGCATCCCACGACGCCCGCCCGCAGCCTGCCGAGCCCCCGCGGGCCGCCGGGGAAGGGAGGGAAAGGAAGGAGGGGGGGAAGCTTTAAGAAGGAAAAGCAATCATAATATTATCTTATTTTTTTAAAGAAAGGCTTTGAAAGGGAATTTGGAAGGGGGGAATTAAAGGAAAAAAAAAAGTTTAAAAGTTGGAAAGGAGGAAAAAAAAACTTTATAAAGAAAAAATCTAAAAGAGCGATTTTTTTATTATTTGAAGATTGAAAAAAAAAAAGAGATTGAGGGAGCAGGGGGAAAAAAAACACCTCGTAATTGCGAAGGGCTCGATCGGGCGCCGGAGAACAATACTCACCGGGAAAGTTACTGCGCGGCCCGTGAGGGAGCGGCGGGAGGAAAATGCCGCAGCTGGGCAGCGGCGGCGGGGACGACCTGGGGGCCACGGACGAGATGTTGGCCTTCAAGGACGAGGGCGAGCAGGAGGAGAAGATCCCCGAGAACGCCTTCACGGAGCGCGACTTGGCCGACCTCAAGTCCTCGCTGGTGAACGAGTCCGAGGGGACCGGCAGCCCGGCCACCGCCGCAGCCGCGGACCCTGAGGTAAACTGCACCCCCCCCCCGCCTCACGCTCCCGCCCTTCCCGCCCCGCGCCCCTTTGCCCGCCGCCCCGCAATGCCCGTCCGTGTCTCTCCCTGTGCAGGCCGTCCGGAGGGTGCAGGATCCGCAGAGGGCTTACCAGGAGAAGCTGCCCGACCACATGGATGATGGTTAGTCGCAGCGATCCCCCTTCTCTATGTGTGTGTGTGTGTGTCCCACATCCGAGTGCTCGCCGTCCCCACGGTGGGTGAACTCCCCCGGGTCCCCGACCTCACCACCCTGGAGTGAGAGATGCCGGCCTGGCCGCCATGGCCCTCATGGGAATGCTGCTCCTGTCAGCAGTGAGGCCTCCCAATGCACCCCTGTGGGACCCAGCACCCCTCCAAACACCCTTTCTAAAGGATACAGAGCAAAAAGACTCCCCAAAACCGCACTGTAACCTTTATGATGGGCCCCGACATGCAGAGGAATCACCTGTCATAAAGTGAGTTTTGATGGGGAACTTTAATTTTAACAGGTATGAAGCATCAGGACCCAGGGATGTATAAAGGATCTGCGTACTCTGGCTACCCCTTCCTCATGCTCTCAGATCCGTATCTGCCAAATGGATCCATGTCGCCACTGGTGAGTTCATCCTCTCTTTATGGAGAAGTTCCGTGGCCTCTCTCGGCCTGCTGCAGTGTGTTGCAGGTATCGTGCAGGCTTTTTTGCCTGACACATTGCAGCCTGCCTCCTAAAATGCCTGAGCACTGCTCTGTCTAAATGGGAGAAAGAATGGGAAGGGGGGAGAGATGCTTGGCAGCAAGCGCCTGCCTCACTCCGAACTTGCTGGAGGCGCTTCTTTTCCAGTCTCCCCATCCTCTAGGTTTGCCTTTACAATCAAACCAAAAAATGATGTAAGAATGCCCCTTCCTTTTTCTGGGTCACTGACTTTGGAGGAGAACAGCTTCTGGTGTTTGTGTTCAGGGATATGTCCCGCAGCTCGACTTCAGTTTGATGTATCTGCTTGTGAGATTGCCAGGGTTTGGCCTGCTTTAGTTCGGGCTCTGTTGTGGATGATGATGGTCCAGAGAGTGGATCTTGTGCTTCTAAAATGACAATAGAGGTATTTAGGAAAAGGCTTCATGCTGCTGGAGGACTGTCTTCTTTCTATGAAGTTTTTTCCCTCTTGGGTCAAATCAGCTTTAGTAACTCTATATTCTCATGCTTACAAGTTTTGCTGTCTGAATAATTGAACTAAAGGCTTCTCTGCAAAAGCTGTCTTTTCCCATCGCCATCTCTAGCAGAACTCCAGAAAATCATGTCACGACGTTGCCGCAGTCAGTTGGTGCTTGTGTTGCTCCTGAGGAGCTGGCATTGCTGCATTCATTTCAGACATGATTCTGTTTGCAGTCAGTAAATGAGAACAGAACATCAGTTGGCTTATTTCGGGTTTAGTTTTTCACTTTTAAAGGGATAAGGTTGGAAAAGAATACATAACATTGTGCTTAACTGCAGTCATTTGTTGGCTGGAGGGGTAGAGTGTTAAACTGGTGCTATGAAAAAGTGATGGATTGTGGTGTGTGAAACTCAAGAGTGAGATGAAATATTATTTGTGGGAATCGCTGCTGTGCCCTGCGGGCTGACACTGCTGGCCTGGGTCACAGGAGATGGGTCCTTCCATGAGCCTGCCCCAGCCCCAGCACAGCCTTCCTTGGGGGCACAGATTCCCCTGCTTGCAGACTGCTGGAACTTTGCTGAAGTCAGTTTTGAGGATCTGCCCCTGAATTTTGGAGTCTTCCTTGGGTTTGCAGCCAGGAAAGATGCGTTTGCAAGACAGGGCCAGTGTACATTGTTGTAATCCAAATTAGCATTTCTCCTGTTGCTTCCCACCTTTGTGTCCCTTCATCCAGGTACCAGCTATCCCCCTCACCCTCCTAAAATGTTAAGCTGCTCTCTTCCTGGTAAATGTTTAAGTCTATTGAATTTGTCTTATTTAAACGTGTTTAGTTTGCTCCCTAGTATAGAATCTGGGTAAGTTCAGAGTTACATTAGCACAGCAACTCTTTCTTGTAATGGAACATTTCTTTTAATCTTAAACCCTTACTAGATGGGCCACGAAGTGCAATAGTCTATTTATTAGCAATTAGGGTTAAAAGGAGATTGTAGCTTGTGAATTGCTTTTCCTCTTGATAATGTAATAAAAACCCAAGTAGTTCCTGTCGGAGCAGGAGTAAATAGATGGTGCAGAGCTCAAAGGGGGTAAATGAAGTAGCAGGGAGGGAATGATTCCATCCCCTTGGGAGCCATGGGAATCATCTCCTGTCCCAGCCAGCTTCACTGAGGCCCGTTCTGATCCTGTGGTGGTTTGTTGCGTGCCTTAAGAAACTGATTTGATTTAACAGACTTAACTCACAACCTAACAGACATGGGAAGATTCTTCCTCAGATAAAGGCTGGTCTTGTGGTTTTTGACTTGGTATAATAGCTATTCCAGTATTGGAATAGCTAGGCAATTTTGTCTTGTATTTATATTGACTATGCAAAGGTTATCATAGTAAATTGTGTATTGCTTTCATATAGATTTATTGCTACTGTGTATATTGGATGAATTGTGGGCTATAATCTGGTGGCTGTTTCCAGTAATTGAGGAGGTCAGATCTGTGACCGAAGATTGCAGATACTTCACCATCCATAGAAGTGTGTTTAATTAACACTTTAGCAAAAGTAGAGTTGGACAGGAGGGTTGTGTGAGTGAATGGCATTATGTACCACACTTGTGGGTGCGCTCAATAGTGGAGATTGTATGTTGGTTAATGATGCTTCCTGGAAACGGGTGTTTGCAGCCAGGATGAAGTTCAGAACCTTCCAAAACTAAAAATTAAATGAATTAACCCAGGAGTACTTTGGCAAACTGTCAGGGCTTTACATTTACCTGATTGAAAAACAGAATACATGGCTGTAGATGAAGGGCAGCCAGTGCCGATCCTGTGGGCTGAACCCCACTCTGTGACTCACTGTAAAACCACAGTTCTGTTCCGTGGGCTCCCTCCAGACCCCAGCTGGGCGCTGTGAGTGGTGCTGGAGCCAGCCCGTGTGGGTGTGTTGCTGCCAGTGGTACCAGTGTGCTGCTTTCCTCTTTTTCTTTCTTATTTTCTCAGCAGCGTCACTTTTGTTTTGTTTCCCTGAGGTGGCTATGGCCTGCTAACTGTTCCTCGGCTCTCTCCAGCACCCTGCTGAGCTCCCCACATCTCCCCAGCCAAAATTGCCTCTTTTTACCAAAACACACTCACTTGTGTTATTTACATGCTGTGAGACACCCCCCTGCAGTCCTGTGTCCAGCTCGGGCCCTCAATACAAGAGGGACATGGAGCTGTTGGAGCGAGTCCAGAGGAGGCCATGGAGATGCTGCGAGGGCTGGAGCAGCTCTGCTCTGGAGCCAGGCTGAAAGAGTTAGGGTGGTTCAGCTGGAGAAGAGAAGGCTCCTTAAGGGGAGACCTTAGAGCAGCTCCTGTGCCTAAAGGGGCTGCAGGAAACCTGGAGAGGGGCTTTGGACAAGGGCCTGTAGGGACAGACCAAGGGGAATGGCTTTAACCTGCCAGAGGGGAGACTGAGCTGAGCTCTTAGGCAGAAGCTCTTCCCTGTGAGGGTGCTGAGGCGCTGGCACAGGGTGCCTAGAGAAGCTGTGGCTGCCCCATCCCTGGCAGTGTTCAAGGCCAGGTTGGACACAGGGACTTGGAGCAACCTGCTCTAGTGGAAGGTGTTCCTGCCCGTGGCAGGGGGCTGGATTCAGATGAGTTTTAAGGTCCCAGCCTGTGATTCTATGATCTTGCTCTGAAGTGATGCACTGGACATGTCTGGCTACCTAACAGCAGCAGCAATGGCAAGCCCAGTTGATGTCTCCAGCGACCAGCAGGATGTGGCAGGAGCCACCCTACAGTGGGCAGATCCTAGGCATTGGGCTCAGTGGCCACCTTTGCTCCAGGTGGCAAACATGAATTTAGGGTAATTCAGCTGTAATGATGCTGTTTGAGCATGCACAAGTAGCCCGGCCTGGCAGTGAAGCTATCAAAGAGGGAAGGGAGGGCTAGGAGTGAGGAAGGAGCCTGTGCATGCATCTGAAACCTCAGAACCAGGAGAACCGTTTCTCACCCGTCGCTCTGGTCTTGCATATGTGGTTGATTGCGGCTCTGCTTTGGCTCTCCTGACTTGCAAAGTCCAGCTTTTCCTTGAGTGAAATATATAGGATTTACCAGTTAAAAATCTGCAAGAAACTTCCAAAGAATACTGACAAGCTGAGGAACTGTTTTTCTAACTGAAATAAAAAATCATAAAACTATATCCTTTTTTTAAATAGTACAAATGACTTTAAATCAAATTAAGGTACATCCTTAGTGAGAACATCAGCCTTTTAGGTGGTTACAAACATTAGAGGTCAGACATGGTCAAACATGTTAACACTTTGATCAGATTAAAATATTTTTCTTGCTACAGTTATATAATTGAGTTTAGACCCGAGGGGGTTTTCTGAACATTGTTATATCTTGTACCATGTGGTAGTTAAATGGTAGAAGGAGTACTTATAAGTTCCTTTAAGTTCCTTTTGTAAATAGGTTTATAAAAGAGGGGAATGAGCCATGCTGCCCCGTATGTAGGGCACAAGCTCTCCCTGCTCCAGTCGATGGCAGAGCTCCCCCGGGAGCTCTTCACACCTTCTGTGCACCTCTGTTGTGTGAGGTGTGTGCAGGCAGAATTCAGAGGTTCTATATTTAAAGTTGAGGCATTGGACTTACTGTCTGTGTGAGCGAAGAGATCCAAGAGCCTCAGTTTCTTTGGAAAACAGACACTACCTCATTTTCTTAATTATGAAGTTGTCTAACCAGAGCTGATGCAGGAGCAGAAGGGTGGTGGTACCTTCCCAAGCTCTGCACATCTCAAGTCCTCAAATGAGGCTGCAGGTTCCAGTGTTCAGAGCCTGGTCCCTGTGGTCCAGCAAGCTCCTTGAGCTTGGTTCCTGCTCAGAGGGTTTGAAATGTCCCCTTGGGCAGGGCAAGATGAAAGTGCAGTTACTGCTGGCCTGTGGCCACAGATCCCACATGTCTAAAGTGAAGTCAGAAAGCATGGAGCTGAAATCCTTCTGCTGCCCTTCGCTGGACAGAAGCAGCTGAGCTCTGGGACGTGGTGCTGCTCCATCCCTTTGCAGGAGGAGGCTGTTGCCCCCGCAGCAGTTGGTGGAAGGAAATCTGCAGCTCAGCTGCTTCTGTGCGGAGGTCTTTCTTTCTGTCCCAGCTTGCACTGTCAGGGCAATGGTTTAGTGGTGCTTTTTCTTGTGTTGAGTTCGGATCCTGTTGAAACCAGTGGGAAAACTCCCTGGAGCCGCCATGTGATAGGGATTTGTTGCTGTGCGTGAGAGGGCTGCTGCATCCCTCTCCAGATGTGGTGCATGGAGGGAGGGCAGCTGCAAGCCACCGGTAGGTCTGCACGTTCCCAGCAGTGCCTGCAGCATCCTAGCCAGGTTCGCTGGCATGGGGCTTGTGCTATGGGACCTCACTGGGACAGTGCTCTTTCCCCATAGATTGTTATATTCCCAGCAGAAAGCATTTGGAGTGCGGTGCCTGCTGATGGATGTCCTGGCAGACACACAGA